TGGATGGATGGGTGGATGGATGAACAAATGCAACTTCACATTGATTTAATTCTGAGCAACAACAGAACATGGATCACTTTCTTAGAAAAACTCTTATTTTAATGTCAAAGTTTGCTCTTCAGTATTTGCTATGAACTTCAATTAGAAGAGAAAAACATGGTTGATAAAAAATTAGCCTTTTTGGATAACCCTTCCATTTTTAAAAAATTTTAATTACCCAGTTTTTTTTTTTTTTTTTTTTTAATGGCATGTCACTGTGAGACTTTATTTAACTGCATCAAACATGTTTTACTGTGGCCAAAATCACTTCCAGGACGGCACTACGGACACCCAGCTGTACTTTTTATATGTCAATCAAAAAAATGGGATTTTAAATTTTACACCATTTTGGTTTGATCTCGTAAATCCAGTACTTTCTATATAAACAACCATACTATAGTATGTACCACATTAAAGCCGTATAATGTGCCAAGATACAGCAGTCAAATTGAAAATCTGATTAAATCAACACAGGTCTTTAACAACAATACATTATTGTACTAAGAAGAAAGATAACACTAACCTGTAAGCATTAGCAAGCAGAAAGTAAGCCAGCAAAATTACACAGGATGAACAAAAGAAGAGAAGGTTTATGTAGTTTCATAAGTATTATCTTGACAATTTTATGCTACCCAAGAAAAGAAAAAGGTAAAGGTGAAATACAGCTTCTACATTTTTAGAGACAATAGACATTTGGTGTAAAAATGTATCTTTAAAAGTCACATTTCAGAGTTTCTATGGAAATAATCTCAGAAAACCCAAACAATTTGTTTAGTTTTGGTTAAGTTTAAGTAACTGAGTGAGACATCTAAAAATAAAATCTCTGAATATTCTCAGTTTAAGTGACATTATAGGTGTGTTCATCTTTGAAACAACAGATGTAGCAGGATAGAGAGAAAAGTGGAGAAATGAGAAGCAGAGAAAGATGTCCTTCCAGTTTCTAATGCTGCAGAGAACAGATTGCACCAGGGGAAAAAAATAAATCTGCTAAAAATACCATGTCTTCCTCTACTTCTCACCCTCCATCTCTGGAACCATTACTCCTTTCCACCAGCACACACACACACACACACACACACACACTCACACACACCCACACACTCCATTTGTTTTTATCAGCATGCATTAACGTGATGAGCTCCTGAGCCGGCTGAACTGAAGAGAGAAAGTTCAGGAGTGGGCGGAGAGTGGGTTGTGAGGTCACCGCAGAGTGGCCAATCATCCATGAGGAGGGCAAGACATGGATGCCCAAGTCTGCTGCTGCTCCTGCAGTGTGTGTGTGTGTGTGTGTGTGGTAATCCCTGGTTCAATATCACCCTCTATTTTAAGAATCTGCTCGCTTTCTCGTCTCCTGTCTTTGTCCGCATTTAAACAGAGAGATATCCTCTGCAGAAGCAATCTGCCAGGCCTCTCTGCGGCGTTCTCATCTGGTCAGGTTATCCAAGCACAATCACAAAACACACACACACACACACACACAGACGCTGAGTGCCAGGCAGAGAACGTTTCTATTTATAACCAGGTGCAAGGATGCATGTGCGCGGGCAAAAACCGCTCTTATCGGGTGGCATGTGACTGAGGGAATTTGTGTGGACGGAGAGAGGCATTCTGGATGTTTACATGTTTATTTAATGGAAACAGAATAGACAGAGAAAGGAGGAGTAATAAGGACGGATCTAGGAATGCTTTTTAGGAACGCGCACCTTTTATAGATCCTGCCCTTCGGGCAGGGAGCTGACAACTTTCAGGGTATTTGTTGTTTGTGTTATCCAGCAACCACTTGGGGGCAGCGGAAACAAGCCACGGCCACAAACGTAACATCACAAACGCAAAGATGCCACTCTTCAAAATGGGAAAGACAAGAGAACATGGCACTCAAATGAGGCAGATGAGTGCTCATCTTCATAAGTAGATAGTTACATTTACTTTAGTAACTTTTTGGCAAAAAAAACAAGGTAATTTTGGAAGTATTTTTACTACAATGTACTTTTTACTTTTACTTGAGTAACTTTATTATTAAGTATCACTACTCTTACTCGAGTAAAGTATCTGTATGCTTTACCCAGTGTGGTAAAGCACACTGGGTGCACGATGAACAATCTTGTTTTAAACAAAGATTCACCAGACACACACCTGCAGTTTTTTGCAAAAGTTTCATTGAACAAAATTCATCTGGACAAAACTATTATTTTTGCCTGATTTTGTTATTTTGTAATTATTTACATGAATTATTTTTATCTTTAATATACCAAAATGTCCATATACCATAAATATTTTGGTCCGTCTGATGATATTAATATTTGCCTCAATACTTCAGTAGCCTTTTTATCAAATACCCGTTTACTCTCGCTTGAGTCATTTCTTGGACGGCTACTTTTTAGTTTTACTTTAATTAAAATATGTTTAAGATTATGTCACCACAGTAAAAAACAAATGTATTTTATGATCTTTTTCCTTAACACATCTTCACCAAAGGTATCGATAAGCAAATGGTGCAGGACGTAAAATAAAGCAATTGACTGTTTAGATAAACTACAAGCTGGTAATGTGACTGAAATATCCAATTTGAAATTAATAATTAACCCTTTATGACTCAGTATTTACAGGTTTATTATCTATACAGTGGACCGATTCCCACATAAAGGCAGAATTCAGCGCTGCTACATGTCTTTAATTTTATAGCATATCTATATGAATAAAATGTACATTCAGGCCAGGCATAGTTTATTGCTATATAAATAAAACATGAGATCTAAACGAAAAGAACTTATCACAGGAGACATTTATTTGTAATTATGAACAACATGGGACACATTTTGAGTGATGCTATCCATGCAGACTGGCAATTCCAATCAATTAATCAGACCGCAAACATAAAAGCCTGAATAATTTATTTTTATTTGCTTCTGAAATGGATCAAAACATGCTGTTCCCTTTGCGTCAGAGTGCTTTATGAGCAAGCTGCTTCGTCCGTCACTTATTTGGATAACACGCATTCAAAGAAGGTTGTTATGCCGTCTCATTTACTGAAATTGACAAAATCCATGCAGCTAAGAAAAGAGTTTAAATTCAGTCTCTCAATGACCAATCTAAGACCTTTGAGTTAACGGGAGGCTCACCTGTGGATCTATTTTAAAGCCACACCTGAAATGAACCGCTTTCTTGTTTGACACAATCGGAAAGTCAAAAGAAATCAATGAAGATATCAGGAAGAGAACTGTGGAGCTGCAAAAGTCTGGATAATCCTTGATAACAATTTATCGATGCTTGGAGGTGCCGCGCTAATCTGTTCAAACAATTATATGTGTCATAATGAAAATGTCCAACCATCATAAAGCTCAGGAAGAAGACTGGTTTTTGATCCAAAATGTACAAATTCACCTCAGAATAAAAGATTTTCTGAAAATGCTGCTGAAGCTGGTAAGACAGTGAAACATGTCCTGTACTGACATGGGCTGAAAGGCCACTCAGCGTTAAAGCCATTATTCCAAAAGAAACATTAAAAAAAGCAGATTGTTACATTTGGAGAAAAAATGGAGAAGTTTGTTGGGAAAACCATCCCTAATGTGAGGCATGAAGGTAGCAGCATCATGTTACAAGGTTGTTTTGCTGCAGGAGGAATTGGTGCATTTTGTAAAATAAATGGCATAAAAAGGAGAGAATATTACGTGGAAATATTGAAGACGTCATCTAACAAGGTAAACCTCAGGGGCAATTGGGTTTTCCAGATGGAGAATGACTCTAAACAAAGAATCAAAGTGGTTACAAAGTGGCAACTGACCTAAAACAAGAGAATGTTGGTTGGATTTAACTTTAGACTGTAAAAAACAAAGGTATGTGTGTGTTTTTGCTTGTTGTATGCAAACTTCTGGTGTCAACTGTATGTGTATAATGTTTACTCTTCTTGAGGGAAAAATAAGGTTTCTCTCCTACTACACTTCTAGCAGGAGAGAAGCGCACACACATCCAAATTGCACAAACGCGAGACTGAAAGAAGTTTTTGGTTTGTGGTGGATATTAACATATAAATGCATTGTTTTTATTCTGCTTGGGGGGAATTAAAATTTCGAAGGCTAAACAGTAAATTTTTAAATATTCCTAACAACACGCCATGAAGCTCACAACATAATCAGAAGAATTAAAATACATGCAGAGTATACTTTCTAAATATTCCCATCCTTTCTGGATCGCTCTTATAATTCCCACCAAAAAACACACAGTTATGAGAAGAAACGCTGCTCTGGTAATACTAACTGTGCTGTGCTCCCTTTGTTTTGCACTAAAATGTCGCATTGCTGTGATCTTACCCTCAGTGGTGGATCCAGACAGATCGATGACCACGTACACCTTCCCCTCCGGCTCCAAGTCGATCTGCGCAAAGACAAAGATGGAGGAGAAAACAAACGTAAATCAGAGGGAGAAAAACGCAGCAGAACAGCGAGTGCAGCAGAAGGGGCTGTCCTCCAGTACAAACAAGCACAACAACCCCCACATAAGAGGTCATTATCTTCACCAGAATTACACTTCTCACCAGCACTTGTATCATTATCACCATTAGCTCCATTGTCTTTATAACTGTTATTTCAGCATCATTACGGACCTCGTTTACTGCTGCTATTCAATGCAAATCCGTACGTGATGTGCTAACTGGATTCTTTGAACTTTTCATTCACACCTTGTGTTTAAAGCTCTCCCATTATCTTGACTCTGGCCTTTGGTAAAAATAAAAAAAAAGAGCTGTCAGGTTTCAAACCAGAAGTGATAGAGTTGATTAAACTGAGCCATTCCCACACATGTGCAGCAACAGTTAGTCAGATAAAGCGGCTGAGCATCCAAATCGAACTGCATAAAGTGTTTAATTCCCTGTACCAACACACAATGTTGTGCTGTTGTAACCTCTCTGTGCGTCTCCCTCAGAGCAGCTGTAACGGCAATGGGTTAACTTCACTCCCATGATGCCTCACACGGTGCACAAATTACACAAAGGCAGGAAGAAAGTGTCTGACCGCAGACTCAAAAGCATTTTGTTGATGTCAATAAAAAGGGTAGTCAGCTTAAAAATCAATTACTAAAGAAGGAGGAGCCACTTACTGACACTTTTTCTTTCACAGCAAAGTTGTTCAGACATAGATGGAACATTGGATACATTACAAAGTTAAAAAAAAATGTATTAACTCTATGAGATAGTGTAAAACCTGAAGCCACAAACGTTTGGTCCGACACTCAAAAATCTAATCTTTCTTCAGTGGACACACCGTACTTCACAGCTACCTGTTTGCTTGAATTACAATCTTCAGAGTGGGAGTTGATAATAAGGAAGCAAGACTCAAAGTTAGCTGTTTTTAGCCATGTGTAGGGAAAAATAAGCCAAAGAAACCACCTCTGGTTAACCCAGGTTTCTTTTAAAAGAGAGAGCCAGACTTGAGCACATAACAGGAAGGCTAAATGGAGTACAGAAAGGTTCCCCTGTTGTATGTTTTTATCTTTCAGTCTGTTTTCCATTAAAAATCCTGGGTTTGGAACTGATAACTAGAGGTTGTGATAAACAAAACTCTGCAACTTTCTCGCTATATTTAGTGACTTTTCAGACAAAAAAAAATCGGTATCTGCCAAAATGAAGATTCGCCAGGCCAGGTTTTTTAAAGATTCATCATCGGCCGGAAAAATCGCAGTTGGTTTTATAAATATACATTTTCAGAAATATAAAGACATAAAGACATGGAGTGGGTTTTTTGAAGTTCTGTGAAGTTCTTATTAATAAGTTACACACATGGGCAGACGTTACTAACTCAAAATTTTGGAGTGAATCACTCCAAAACAAAAGAAAAAAAAAAATCACTTTTCTTGCCATTGCAAGACCTGGTGTCTCTGCACAACTGGTAGTGTGATACAAAATGCTAAAGTTGACTCTGATCATGGTGGATTTACAGCATACTGATGTGTCAGCAGTCACTTTGCTTAGTAAACAGCAACAAACTTCACGGTATCATTTAAAAGTGAAAATGTTTACATCCACTAGCATTGTTTGTATCCGTTTTAAATGTGTAAAATCAGCTAAAACCAAGAGACAAGCATGCTAGCTGTTCAGATTGCACCACTCATTTTTTTTTTTTTTTTACTTTTGTACAAACCCATTGAAATATGTCATCTGTTTACTACACTAACAGCAATAGGGGCTATTACTGTTAAAACTTCCCAGAAAAATCACATCAAATAACCTGAAATATCCCTTCATGGAGCTACGTTCTCTGAACTGCATTAATACTGCTAATTGGTAATAGAGGATGATTAAAACAGCTATTGGAAATTTCATAAATGTATTTTTCTTTGGTTTAAAAATAATTATGAAACTCTGCCTTAAATTGCCATCTCTGCTAATATATAGAATATATTTTGAATCGTGGTTCATGTATTTCTTCAATTGAAATTGAAATTGTTGATTTACTGCATATTTGCTTTTGTAATGAGTGATACTTGGACGCCTCAGACAGTTTATACACCAAAAACGATAAAACACACAGTGAATAAAGTTAATTATTAAACAACAGCTCTTTTTGTTACATTTTCACAACAGTTAAAAACATAAAAAGGCAGCTGTGTTGTAATCTCTGGCGTAAACTCTACTTACGCATGATCCAAGAAACTCAGAATAATAAAATCTTAATACTTAGACAACCTGCATATAAAATGGAACATACAGTGCAATTACACAATCCACATACAATGTACATGCAATTACAGAGATTAGCAAGTATAACAGAGTGCTAAAGGGGCAGACGACTCAGGAAGGAGAGAGCGCAGGAGAGAGAGTGAGAAAGAGAGGCTTAAATCCTTCGTTAAGCTCTGGGACAGCAGCAGATCCTCTTATGCAACAGTCAGACTGACACACACGCACACACGCAGCAACACACACACTTCCATCAGGCAGTGGTGAACATGAGACAAAAAACACAAACAAATACTAAATGAACTCTTCTTTATTCTCTCTCATCATAGGCAATTACTTGCAATCTATGCAGAAAATATACACTGTCAAATGCAGATCTACAAAATATAATAGGTAATCAAACGCATACATAAATAACTCACACACTTTCCTTTAAAATGTCTGTGCAGACTATTTTTTATGTAAAGGAATCAGCCTCAAACTAAACATACTGAAAGATACAGATGATGTAAGGACAAGCATTGAAAAATCCTTTTGTTGTAAGTATAATACATGACAGCATGGGATTTGTGACCTATAAATGCCTCTGGATTCTTGATGTCTACCCTTGAAAATGATGTGCTAATCCCCAAATGTAACCTCTTGCATAACAGCGCATCTCAGTGGGGATTTCGGCAGAAAGATGGACTCAGACTGATTTGGAACAGAGCGCAGCAAATGGACAGCACCATTATTGATTTAGTGCTTGGCTCCCGGGGTGACACGCCAGCCAAAAACTGCACATCATCACTGACGACCGCCACTTGAATCATGTGGTGCCTTCATGAGTGTTTTCTTCCATAACAGGAGGTTTAGTGTGATGTTTTCCTGATGGAAGCCTGAGTTTAATCTTCTTTTTTCCTCATCGAAAGAATTAAAGCTTTACTATTATTTGTTATTTCAATAATGGCTGCAGTTACTCTCACCATCAGACAAATTTTCCTGTAAAGTATTTAACTGGATGTAAGTTAATTCCTGAACTTCAATCAGTTTAGGCTGCCAAGCAACCAGGACCCATCCCAAGAAGAGCTTAATTCAGGGATTAAATTACTAGGAATGCCAAAAAGCTGGAATCTTGTAGCTGGAATGAAATGTTAAAAATAGAAAATTTAGTTAGATGCCTGCTGTACAATATGTTCCAATAAAAATAAGAAACACTATAAAATTGCTTTAAGGTATGAAAAAGTTATAAAAGCTATAAAAGGTTTTATCTACTGTATGTAAGGTCTGTTTTTACCATTGTTATGAATTCATGTTAGTCTTTTATACCTGTACTGAGATTTAACCATGAAAAGTGCACAGGAAACATTTCAGTGTGGTTGGGTTATTGAAGTGATGCAAAAATGGGAGAAAACCTTCAGCGGAAGAACTGCTTTCGCCTTGGTCAAACTTCTACTCTTTTACTTCTGGGATTACTCAGCTCATCTGTTTCTGTTTGAGCTGTCATAAACCAAGTGATGCTAAAATGTCCCCCAATCAGTTTACTCAGAATAAAGCAAACACAAACCATGTGGAGTGTTCTCAATCATTCCTTAAGCAGGTGACAGTAACTAGGACACCTGAGCCTTAGTTACACGGGAACAATTAGAAGTTGGAAACGAAGCACAAACCACATAACGCCTGTGATGAGTGATTAATCTGCAGGATTTACCAGGGCATGCAGCAATTAAGAATAAAATAGATAACTTGAACAAATTATACTCTAAATGGCAACCATTTATTGAGTTTGTTGCTTCAATGTAAAACCCCCTGCGCACCCAGCTTTCATTCCTTTTTTTGTTTTGTGTGTGTTTTTCGGATGTGTATTTATTTGTGTAAGTGTATATATGCATGTGCACATACATGTGTTTTTTCACTATTAATTTTCTTTCACTATGTTTTATTATTGGAGGTGTTCTGCATGTGTTCTTTGTTCCTGAAAACATGCATCTTAAAGTCAGTGGTGTAAACAGTTTGTTTATGCTCAACACTTTTGCACCCTGGAATATGTAAACGCCTTTGTACCATATGCAAAAATATCAATAAAAATATGAATAAAAAAAGAAGATAATGGATATAAAAAATTCAAGATGTGACTTTATGTCAGAAAAGGCGAATACTTTATTCTTTTCTGCTTACTAGAACTAGAGCTGAGACTAGAGAGCAGGTCAGTCTTAAGTTTTAAGCATTTTCAAAGGATATTTTAACTTACATCTGTCCGCCGACTGCCAATACTGGGGATCCACTAAAATTAAAAGTTATTTGACTGTAGGAAAAATTACTCTTTTATATCAAATGACAGAGTACATTGCACATGCTTTGTGTTACCTTTATCTTGAATAAATCCATTTATTGTGCTCTCTAAGCAGTAGCCATCAAAATGGACAGAAAAGAATTCTAAGAATATTTAATTCTGTATGCAGAATCAATAAATTAATTGATAATATTGCAAGATATTGGGGTGAAATTTTACTTATGTTTGTTTTTCAGCAATAGAAAAACAATAAAGTGTTTTCTGATTTGAACTGTGTGTCAATACCGTGAGAAAACTGGGTATTTTTACAGAATCATCAGATTCTCAAACTGGTCAATGCCGTGTATCTTGAGAATAAATTTTGCAGACTTTGTCAAGTGATTTTTTTTAATTATTATTATTTTCTCAGTTGGACCAAACTAGAGAAAAAAG